CTTCCAAATGATATTGAAGCCATCTACCTCTACAATTTCCTTTGTTAAAAAGTAAGTTCAGCTGCTTGTTCAGAAGAACCTCCTTTCGTACCTTTAATCTATTTCAACACTTGTTACAGCAAGCATCACCTGGTTTTTGGATTATAGGATCTATTGAATAACAGCTGTGTATCTATCTACTTCCTTCAAAGTTTCATAAATCTTGACCATATGGTGCTCAGCTTTTTCCTTTCTAAAGAGTTTCAGCTTCCTTACTCTCTACTCATAAGGGGGCTGCTCTATCTCCTTAAACACTTAAAGTGCTCTTCCCTGTAACTTCGCTAGCCAAGTTGTGTCCTTTGTAACAAAGAACATAAAAATGATATTAATAGTTTTAAAAGGATTTTCTATGAAATTGTTCTTGTGTTATTGCCAAAAAGTAAATACTCAGAACAAAATCTCCTCAGAAATTTATAGTACTATCAGACAACAAATAGTCAAAGCTGAGAGCTTACTTAACTTTGTTTACAAATGATTCTTTCTTCCTCTAGTAAAGTTACTATTTAAGGAATAAAAACATATGTTTTGTAAACATACAGGCTGTGCAGAGAGAAACTACAACTGAATCACTGGAATTTCCACCAAATGAAACAATGCTGGATTTGTAGCAGTTAACTAGAAATTATTATTTCAACCACTATTCAGAAATGCACACAATTGCAGTAGTCACCTATAACAGTAGAATAAGCATCACTTTTGTGATAGTATCAATTATTTAGGACAATAAGGCCAACTGTTGCCTACAAAATTGCCTACAGTAAAGGCACTCTTCCACACACTTTTATTGTATTAATGTGCATCTCTGAAGAACGTCACAAGATGTGGCAAGTACATATGGAAGAGATGGTTGTCTGGAAACACTGCAATTAAATTAGATAATATGCATTTAAGATAATTAGATCCATCTGGCAAACTAGTAAAGGCAATAAAACTAAAAACCTTATTTAAATATATTGGTTGCTTATGATCTCATACCAATTAACAAGCAAAATTAGCTAAAGCTATCTTAGATGAGTTACATGGAAGGCTACACTTCTATTTTGCTTGCAGAAATCCTTAAAATGTGCACATATATAAGCAAAACAATCAAGGTACTAGGAAGAAATACCTAAAGAATTGCTTGGGAATCATCACAGTCTGCGAATCTAGGAAATTACTTTTACCAACAGACATGTGCAATTCAGGATAAAAGCAGCAGGGACATAACCTTTGATTTAAGGTGTATCTATCATCCAGTCTAATCAACTAGATGTGAAGATAAACAAATCTGCAATTAACAATTTTCATATTCTTATGAGAAAAATTCTAGTAGAAAGAAAACATAGTCTTGCAAACAGAGATCAGTGTTCTCCAGCAGCTGCACTCTTATTTTCATCCAACAGAACCAAATTCTAAACCCCTCAGAGAAACACTTCATGTCAAGATTCATTCCTTGCTTCTTATTTATTAAAAACAACTTGAATTATGTAAATGTCCAACTTGTAAGCAAATTAAATATATTCCTTTCTTGAAAAGAGTATAAACGTGTCCCTTTGGGTAACAATGGAAGGTTATTCAGAAACAAAGTAATGTAAAACTTAATGAAAATTTTAAAAACTCCATAGTTTTTTGTGAATGTTCATTGTTTTAATATATATTTATTTAATTTTCCTAATAAGGAATTCTGAGATTCCAAAATGTTTCTAATAGAATTTCTGTGTTACATTCTAAAATTTACCGAATAACAAAAATTCCAGGTTTCAATATTGGGCTGTACCTTCTATTTATTTCCACTATATATTGCTATAAATATGCAGCACATGACAAATACACACATAAAACTGCATTAGACACACTTTCTATTCCCCAAACAATCTGAAACTCACATCTCTTTAGTGATAAAGCAAGTATATGGACATCACTAAAACGTTCATCCCAAAAAAAGTCAGGGAATAAGATTGGAGCTGTCATGTACAAGACATCAATATTCCAGATTGAAATACTACTTCATCTGCTAAGATCCCATAATTTGAGTTTCCAGGAGTGCCCAATATTTCTAAAAGAGATTAAATTGTGACAGATGAAACTTGTTTTCACATATTAATAATTATATTACAACTTATTTATTCTAGATTCAATTACTTTGTAAAATGATTGTTATGTGGAAATGAAGGTTTCATCTCAAACTGAACTGTATTGTTGTACTTAAAATTTTAATAGAAGGCAAGACAGTCTATGTTTAGTACTTCTTAGTCTTCTCTACCAGGAAAACCAATTACAGTCATTATTTGAGGTTGCTTTCCCTGGACAAGTCAAAGAAAAAAATTCAGAATAGGATTAGCTGCATGCAAAATACAGTAAATTGAAGATTCTGCTAACAGAACATTCAAACTTGAAGATAGTCTTCCAAGCCAGAAGTCAGCTGCTCTGAATGTAAGTACTATTGTAATATTATGTACTGAGCATTTCAGTACTTCCCTTAAACAAAAAAGATTGACTTTGAAATACAAAACTGTTCAACACAACTTATGCACACAACTGGAGTCTAAGCAAAAGCAAATTTGCAGTAGTATGTAACTATAACAGGCAAAAACCAAACAGCGTCATGTTCTTTGATTTGAAATGCTTGGTAATGAGAGCTGGAATTCATGGGCACTATCGAACTTACAAAAACATTTCCATCTGAGAAACATCACTGCATAATAAATAACAAAATAGTTTTGCAATGCTGTGAAGAAACCATTAACTGTGAACACATTAATTTTCAACAAAATGTTTTAACTGCCCTATGGTGGTCTCTGGTCTGTTGAAGATGGGGAACTGGGAAATCAGAACCTAATAAAATTAAGGAACTCTGCCTTGCCTAAACAAAAACTTTCAGTATAATAGTGGTTCTGTGTGCTTGATTAAGGGACCTCTAACTTCAGATCCTGATTTGTAGAAGCTTGCACATACTTAACCTGAAAGCCAAGTGACACCATCATCTTGTAGCTAACATGCACTGAAACTTAATACCTCATTTAATCTCAATTAGATATCATATGGGACAAGAGATTTGAGAAAATTTGATTATTTGTTTTATACTTGGAAACTTCAAGATGTCTTAAAAGACTGTGATGAACATCATACGAAGGTGTAAGTGCCAAACAGACTGGACTAATAAACTAACCCTGCATTTTCTCTTGCAAGCCATCTTTACAAGAAAGGAGACCAATTTAAAGCCTATGTAGTTTTTTTTTTCTTTCTTTTTTTATCATGGCATTCTTTTAGCTTACCTAAAAAAGGATTATAAATATATAAATATAGCTTTCTTGCTTTGACTGATGAGACTTACAACTTCACTTTTATCAAAAAAGTAAATTGAACTCCTGTCAAACCAGGAGGAGTTTCTGAACCGCTTTTTCCCTTAAAGTTCTTTATGAGAACTTCAATAGGAAGAAGATACTTAGATGTGATAAGTCTATAAAACATTTTTGGACTTAGAACTTGATCAGGACAAAAGTTTTGGTGTTGAAATGTACATGGCAGATGGGGAAGTCCCGTTCTCTTAAATAATACTGTTCTTCCTTTCAGCTGCAAAACTACCCTTTTGAAAAGAGTTAAAAAAAAAAAATCAACACAAAAAACACAGCAATAATCACTGCAGAATTACCATTGGTATTTAAGCTTCGCCAGGTAATCACTCGGACGCCTCCTGGTAGTTTTTTCCCCAGGATGACAGACAACAAGAGATCAGACGGCACTACGTCACTTCAGTCAGCTTTCCCTCAGCAGGGATCACGAGCAGTCGAAAGCTGAACGCGCGGAGAAGAAAGGTATCACTCAAGTAGCTGGGATCAATTAGGCAACTGAGCTTAGCTCTAATGAACCGGGAAGTCAGGCTTGGGGAGCTCTGGAGCACTTGTGCGTTTTGATTTTAAACAAAGCCTGCTGGCAACGAAAAGGCAAGCAGGCATTAGGGCAGAGCACAGCCCTCGCAGTCACGACGTGCGGAGATGAGGCGTTCTGTTTCGCGCCTCGCCGATCCTCCACGCTTGGCAGCGCGCTCCCGCGCGCCAACGCCACGCCGCTCACCGCACCTCTCGCCCCTCAGCGCGCGGCTCCGCGCCCACCTCGCGCGGCCGCGGCCTCCCCCGCCTCCCGGCGGTGCCACCTCGGCGGCCTCCCCGCCGCGCCCGGACTGATTGGCGGAGCGCGGCCGGGTCCCACCCGCCAGAGGCGGGCACAGGGCACCTGCCCCGCCGGCGGCTCGTCGCCGTGCCGGGAGCCGGGCGGTGCATGGGGCGGGAGGGCGCTCGGGGAGCGGGACAGCGGTTCTCCGTACCGGCGAGGGGCAGGGCCGAGGGGCGGCCGCTCCCTGCGCGCCCGAGGGCATCTCCGGAGGGTCGACGGCGGCGCCGGTGTATGCGTCCGGCGGGCGGGCGGGCGCCGGGTCGGCAGCGCGGTGGGGCCGAGCGGGGGCGGAGGAAAGTGATGAGAAGTTGAGGGAGGACGGAGCGAGGGTGCCCTCTCCTCTCCTCGGCTCGCGCCGCAGGGGCAGCGCGGCAGGTGCAGCAGAGCCGGGGCTGAGGGGACAGGCGGGCCCGGCGCTCCCGGCGCCGCAGCGGAGGGGCTCCGGCGGGAGCAGGGCCTCACCTCAGGCCGGGCCGGACGGAGCCGCGCACCCCGCTCGGCTGAAGGGGAAGAGCTGCGGCGGAGCCCCGAGCGGCGGCTCGCCCCGGTCCTCGGCTTACTACCGGAGGCAGCGACGCGGAGAAACGGCCCCCGAGGAGAGAGCGGTGAGGGAGCTCGGGAACTGCCCGCGGGCAGCGGGAGGGGCCCGGCTCCGGCGGCCCCGAGGCGGAGGGCTCGCCGCCTGGGCGGGAGGGAGGAGCGCGGCTCTCGTGTCACCTTGCCGCTCGCCGGTTCTCCCATCTCTCCGTCCTCGCCTCGCACCGCCGCGCTGCGGGGGGGGGGGGGGGGGGGTCGGAGGGAGGGAAGGCGGGCGGCGGGGAGAGCCGCGGGCTGGAGGAGAGAGCGGAGCCGCAGGGGACGCGGCCGTGGGACGCGGCGTCCGGCAGCGGCGGGAGCGGCCGGGAAGGGACGCCGTGCCCTTGCGGGGTGCCGAGAGGGTTTGAGGGCGAAAAGGAACTTCTGGCCCCCCTCCGCCCCGAGGCGCTGCCCTGAGCGGGGCTCGAAGGGAGGAGATGCGATTCGGGCACCACACCTGCGAGGCACGGCCGCGTGACGCACGGCCGCGAGGCGGGAGCGGTCCCTCGCCACAGCGGGCAGCGCGGGCCGAGGCCAACCAACGGCCGCCGCGCCCGGCAGGTGTCCGCCCCGCCCGGAGCCGGAACGGGCCGCCAACGCCTGCTGCCGTCCGCGCTGTTCCGAGGCCGAGGGGACGCGCTGGGGAAAAGTTTGGAGAGCGAAGTAAGCGGCGGCGAGGCGGGCTGCGAGGGAAACGCCGCGGCTCGGCGTTACCTGGGAGCGGGGCGGGGTGTGGGGCTGCTCCCTTCGGGCCAGTGCCGCCGCTTACACGTTAACTAGATGGCGTGGTTTCCTGGCCCCTGGTATTGCAATGAGGGACCGTCGCGGACGGACGCCCTGAAGTTGTGTGTTATGTAAGCCTGGGGACGCCCAGCGTTTCCTTCCCTTCGCGTTACGGACCTGTGCGCGGGCGCTGGGCCTGGGACCTGTCCCGTCTGGGACCTGTGCCTCCTGCGCTGAGTTGGCCGTGAATGCGCTCAGGTTCGGAACGAGCCGCCCGGCCTGGGAGGAACAACGCTGCGAGTGCTGCAGAACTGCCCCGCTGCCTTTGCGAAGGAAGAGAAGAGCTTAGCCTGAACTGCGCACCGAACGGGTCAGCCAAGTGACGGTATTTAGGCAGACGCTAAATGGTATCTTGTCTTTATGACTTTCTTACGTCTCATTTTAGTATGACTACAGAACAGTAGGAAAGGGTGAAGAAAATAAGTAATACGTGGGCTATTTTGTGTGCTCATTGGAGTTGCCTCGGGAAGAGGAGCAGTGGATGAGTTTGGTGGAAGAGGTTCTTAAAGGATTTTCTCCCTCAGCAAACTCTTTCAGAGCCATATTTTTGTTCTTTGTACGTACACTAGGGGACTTGATCTGGGAAATAATTCATGTAATGTTGGTTGTTTCTATATTTTACAAATGGCCAGGATTACGCTTCCTATTTGGAATGGCCTGCCTGCTTTTCCAAGCAATTATCACACAAGGTCACTTATGTATTTTAGCTGAGCTAGTTTTATAGCACTGACACAATGCTGTCTGCTCTTAACCTTTACTTCTCATTTCCTTGTTTTTGTTCTTCTATTTCAGCCATTGATCCAGACTGGATACTGCAGTGATTTTTTTTTTTTTTTTTTTGTAAGCTACTATTCATGCTAGAGTTCTTTCAGATGGCTTTCATGCAGTTGTGATCTACTCTCCTCGGAAGAGTTACCTGTGAAATGCTAGGCAGTGAATGCCTGGCCTGAAACGCTTGCTTTGTGACCTTTGTGCAGTGTTTTGCCACTAACAGAAGCTATTTGCATGAAACAAGAAAATGATATCACTTTGTGTGTGTTAAGTCCAAGGAGGAACTTTATAAATATCCCTTATGTTTCATGTTTTTAAAACACTGAGCAGTTGCATTGTTTTGAAATATGGTTTGGATGGGGAGACCTATGGGACTAACGAAGGGTGGAAGGAAGATTCAGGGATGGTGTTGTCTCCTGATTCTGCCTAGGGCTGAGCTTTGCAGGAGTCTCCTCCTCCCCTGTGCAAGCAGGGTGGAGGGCAGCTGCTGTACCAGGGCACTGATGACTTAGCAGTGGATCAGGTCTGTGCACTGGTGGCACCTCTGCTATGGTGACAGCTGCTGGCTCTTGTAGTTCACCAGGTTTGGGATTAAGGCAGGGCTCAATTTGGGATTGGCGCCCTATGATAAACAGATAATTCAGTTACTGCTTAGAGAAACTGGAGGGAGTAGGGACTACCATGTCAATGAGATGCAATATTTAATGCCATATCTACCACATCTAGAACACTTGATGGCTTATGCTGTAAGTCTCATCGACTCTTTGGAATAATAATAGTCATAATAGATCTACTCAGAGGAGTTGTACTGACATAGTAAATGAATACCAGAGAGTGCTATCAATCATGACAACATAGTCAAAGTTTGTAGTGAACTTAGCCATAATTTTCTGCCACGTATAATTTGCTGCAGATGGATTTTATTGATTTCTAGCAATTTATTTAATTTCCAGGGCTAAGAAAAAAGAATTATCAGTCTTCTTCCTGTGGTAGGTGTGTTACTACATATGCAGACATTGGGTAATAAAGTATTGTGGTAAGCCTCATCATCTGCAAAATGGTGTCGCTGAGCATGGTTCTGTGTGGGGCCTTTTCTGTACTTGTTGGGTGTTGCGCAGAAAATGTGTTTAAGGGAATACTCCTAGCAATTCAAATATGTTTGACAATTATATTAATAACTGTAATAAAAATCATATTCTGACTTCATTATTTTCTAATTGACCTCCCTGAATGAAGTACATCGCTCCTGGCTTCAGTGGCTAAACATTTTATTGCCCTATCTTGAATCTTCTTGTTTTCCATTTTGGGCTCATTAAGTCCCTTCTTTTCATGTTGACATGTTAGTCATCTTCCTTCCTTTAGAACTGTATCAGGGACTTGCATCAGCTTACTTCATCTTGAATGAGCTCCTTATCGTTTATTTACCAGAAAAATCCAACTACAGTTTTAAAAGCTACTGAGATGTTTCTTGTAAGATCGTATTGAAGATGTGCTTACTAAATTAAATATCTCTCCTCTGCAGATCTTAACGGAAATGCTTTTATTGCTGTTTCAGTATTATGGAGTGGTATTTAAGAAGGGAATTGTTTCAGGAATTAGACATTAGAACATTAGAAACATTAGAAACATTTGAAATCATTTGTTCTGTCTTGGACTTTTTCTTTTAAGAGTTTTTAGTGTGGATTTATTTTTTCTTAAACATACAGATCAAAGTGTTGTTTATGAATAGGTATTACCAGAAGTCTGTGTTTTTTTTCCCAAGGTTGGCTGTATTTGCACTGAATTTTCAGGGCTTGTGACATGCAAGGGTTCATGAACCCTTCACAAAATATTTCTGGTCTTTCATGGTTTGTAACATCTAGGATGTTAAAAGATCAGCATGTGAGATGATGCAATTGCTACTTATTGGGAAAAAGTCTAAAATGTGTTGTAACTTTCTAAATAAAATCTTGGGAATTGATTGCTGTTTTTTGCACCAGTTCGTTAAAAATTTTTGTTATTATTTTTTCTGTATAATATTTTGCCGTCTAACAGAAGAAAGATTTTTAGTTGCTAAAAGTCCCAGTCAGCTTTTCTTTTTGCTCTGTTATATACTGACACCATTATACTTCTTATTATATTTATTTTGCTAGTTATATGACAGATTTTTGCAGCAATTCTGTATTTGGAGCCAGTATATTGGAGAAGTCTTCTTGGAAGCTTTTAAAATTTTTGTTTGTTTTAATGTACAATCTTGTGTGTTCTTAATCCCTAGATGTGGGAGCAGGTGACATTAAACCTATGGCTTTATGAAATTATGTAGTCACATACCAGGGACTAAGGGACATGCATACCATCCTTACTGATTTTTGTACTATTGGAAACAGTATATACTAGATCTGTTAAAAAAAAAATTACCCTCAAACTTAAAAACAGACAAACAAAAAAAGCCCTGTACATGCAACAATTGTGATTTAAGGAGCTAAAGAGGAGTTGAAAGACAATGTAGGTACTTGTTTTTTAAATAGACTTGTAACAAGTCAGGTTATCTCTAGTTATTGAAATTTCTCTTCAGTAGCACAGTTGTCACGCTCATAATTTTGTGTAGTGGAACAAGTACAGCTTTTTTCTTTGCTCTGTGCTGTTCTTTCCTCCTATGAATGGATTGCTCATCTTTATGAGAATTGAGTGACTTTTTTCCTTCCTACTCAGAGACCGAAGGGAGAATTTAATGAGGTGCTGGGCCAACTTCAGGTTCTGAACTGAGTTTAGAAATGAGCCCTGATGCCCTGGGGAAACAACATGCTTTTTAGAAGAAGAAAACAATTTGATGGATTCTTTAAGTGTATTTAAGAGGAGATTGTGATGTGAATGTGGATGGTGGAGTTCCTTAATTTAAAACACTAATGTGATAAGGAAATCATTTTCAACCATAAATCAACCATAAGTCTGTCGCAAGTTGGTATTTCATATGTTTGTTACATGTGAGAATTGAGTGTATTGTTCCAACAACTTTCAAATATTAGATCTGTAATTCAGGGACTGGGAGACGAGTGCGTTTTAATCAGTCCTAACATCCAAATTTGGTGATTTCTTTTTTTAATTTCCCAACTTGGAAGTCATTTGACTTTCACTGAAGTCAAATGAATAAGGCTTTATAAATTAGCGCCAATAAAATCAATTTATAAAATGCAGGTTATTAAACAGGGGACTGTAACAATTTTCAACAAAAGCATGGCTAGTACTTGTGTTGCTTCTTATTTCCTTAACTTCCTTCTTGGGACATCTTTGTTATCTCCCTGATTTAATGTTTAAAATTAGAGATTTTCAAATTAGGAGGAAAATCAGTTATTTCTGAGCTTACACTATGAGATGCATCAAAGAAGTGTGTCTGTCTGAATGAAATGTGAGTTAAAACCAGGAATTTTGGATGGAACAGTACTGTAGATAATCCTAAAATTTACACAGGGTGTAGATGAACAGCTTGCATTTAAGGTTGTAATCGGAAGTACAGCTGAGAAGTCTGTGTACTGTACCTGACAAACTCAGTGTAGCTAGTTGTTTTCTGGAGCATGTAGTACCTGGGATCTACTCTTTTGTATGCAGTTGCACATTTTGCCTGTTGGCAACACTGTTCTGGACTCATTGAGATTGTAGGTAGCAATTCATTTGGATCTCATTTGTTTCATGAGAAGAAATATTCCTTCTTCCACCCACCACAGTTTGACTAAAATGGTATTGTCTAAGATGAAACATGGTAAAGAAATGCAAGAAAAAACAGTACAGACATAATAGATGTGCCAAGTGCATTAATGTTTCATATTCTGAAAGAATATTTCATTATAGTTTCCAAGAAGAGTAATTCTTTGGTTTCTCCCTTCCTATTCTTAGTAGTCATTACTGAGCTGCAGTAATAGTTTGTTGTGTCATTTTCAGATTAGTAAGCATCACAACTTTTTGGGATAGCTGTTAGAGGATACAGATGCTATATGCAGGTACTAAAGGTTTATTTTGTATATTTGTTTGCAAAGTCATCAGTTTTGCTTCAACTCATAAGTGCTGGAAAAAACTTTTTTTTTTACTAGCTTGAGTACTGAAACATTGAACTTGGACTTCAGTAGTGGTATCTT